GAGGGGATGGCACCCCCGCTTCGGTAGCCCGACGACCTGCGTGCGAAGTCGAGCACTTTACGGTAGCACAGTTAAACGAGGACCAATACCGCACACCCTCGGTTCCTACGCAGACTGATCCAAGTGGTCACCCACCCGCACACTGACCGTAGCCAGTGATGCCTGACTTCGGTGATCTGCTGGGAACCGTGTTAATAATCAGTCCACTGCGGGACTAATTTTTTTTTTTTCTTAAAAAATATCTTTAAGTGAGTTTGTGCTTAGTTAACTTCAGCAATCCTGATTTTTAAACTGATATTAGTTACATTTTTAAACTACATTGCCAGAAAAATAATTTCAAGAAATAAATAAATTATTTCGTTTAAAATTTCACTCGACGCTCGACGTGTGCACGGACAGATGTGCTTTGTTTGAGTTGAATACAGTGAGAATGATTCTTTAAAAGAAGCTTTAGTGCTTTTAGTGTTAATTAATTGACTGGAAAAAGGCGGCCGGAAGCTTTGTGCATAGTACAAAGTAAATAAACATTAACTTTTAACTTATACTTATGATTTGAGAAGAAATCTAGTTTTCCTTGCTATCATTTTTAATATACAATTAATATTTTAATATGGTACATACCTGTTGCGCTTACGGATGTTCCGAAAGATTTAAAAAAGGAAGTGGATTAGGATTTTTTCGTTTCCCTTTGCAAAAAAGTCGGCGTATTCAGTGGACGTTAGCAGTACGCCGAAAGGATTTCATACCCAATCGCAGCACTCGTATTTGCGGAAAACATTTTATCACAGGTTTAGTTTTGTTATTCTTCCGTGGTTTTAATTAAATCATGCTAATTAATTAGAAATATAATTCATTGGTATAAGCTTATAATTGAGTGCCCCTTTTATTTTAAAATTTTTTTATGTTCTGAGAACATGACATAACAGTTTAATTTTCTAATAATAAGAAATTATAATAAAAATTTCAAGAAAATAGAAGATTTCATTTACAGTAAAAGTTTTATGTGACCAATTTAAGAAACACCTTATGCATTTAATATTAAAATATGCTACATTTAAATTGTAATTTAAGACATATGTTGAAACTCACAAATGATTTAGCTGATTTAGTAAAGATTGAATTATTTTGAATAGTTTATCTCATGTGTGGACTATTGGATTAAATTCAAAATTATTTTGTTGTATGTGTTATTTTTCTATAAAGTAGTTGAGTGATTCATTTTAAGTTATGTTTATCTTATTCTTGGCGCCAGCTGGCCAAGTGGTTAGCGTACCTGACTCCAAAGCCAATGGCTGCGAGTTCGAATCCCCTCTGGGCATGGATGTTTCTCTCTCTGTGTTTCCTTCTGATGTGTGAATGTGGCCCACCCTATCAACAGGTATTTGTGGCGTGGGTAATGTAGCTCGTCTCCGTAACTTTAGTTCGCAGGTGCCCACTGGGTAACGATAAATGAGCGACACTTTCGGCATCTTCTAACGCGAAGAACAAAAGTTCAGTGCCTGCCTTTATCGAAAAAACGAAAAATTCGTATTCTTGGCCGAAAAATATTAGTTCTGGTATCTATTTTATGGGATAATGCTATTTTAAAAACAAACTGTAATAAAATAAAATTATTTTTGTTTCCTTTTTACATTATTTTAAATTTTGTATCTTCAGTTTTTTTTTTTGGGGGGGGGGTATTTCAGTATTCATTAATTTAAGTTATATTGCAATATAAGGACTTCTTGATCCTCCAGGGATATTGTATTAAATAAAGCTACAGTTGTAATTGATAATTATGCTTATTACTGTTGGGAAATGTGTGTACACACACATATAAGTAAACTGTTTTTCTATCTACATTTTTTAACAGAAGGCATAAGAAATATCTTGGACACATATAAGACAGTAATATTTTAATGTTTATTAAAATATATTGCAACCTAAATTTCAAATAAACATGGCGGAATGAATACGTGCAACAAAATTTTTATAAAACCACCTTTCACCTTAATGTAGAGTTCTAAACCTGCCGAATATTTTTTGTTGTTGTTTCTAATATCATTTGACAATTCCAGCTAGCTGCTTGATGAAATTAAGCATGTTTACGATATGTTTGTCAAATAATTGTATCCTTTTATCAGCAACAAAAAATTGTGTTTCTCTTTAGCATGTATCTCTGCTGAAACCTTTGCAGATTACATGAATTGTCACAATTCAATAATGCAAGAGGGTTCAGAGGTTTCTGTTTACCATCATGTGTCTTTATGACAATTGTGAATTTGTTTAATTGAGACATTTTTTCAGACAAATTTCTGCCAATGATCAACAGTGGCCAGCTTGAGAAGTTTTATTACTTTACTTTATGCCTTTCAAATCTTGTGTATTTGTTTTAGGTTGCCAACTTCTGAGCTGTTTTTATTTTTTAAATAAAGTAATAGCTCTTTTTGTTTTCTTATGAAACTTGGGTTTTCCGGTTGATTATTAACTCGGGTGGTCAAAATCATAGGATTCTATTCTCTTTTTGGAAACTTGGTAAGTTTTTCTTCTTCTTTGGTGTTACTTGTTCTCTTTTATAGTCTGTTGATCTCTTCATCATGGTCTATGTCTTGAAATCATTTGACTTGGTAAAAAACCATGTTTAGGCTCTTTCAAGACTTGAGTAATTTTGTGCTGTCTCTTCGCCGGCGTTATGTCTTGTTCATAACGCCAGCAAAGTTGAAATACTCTTGTTTAGCGAAATAGATGACACAACCAATTTTCATACACATGTTTGAATAAGTTAACACAAAAAAGATCAAACTTTGATGGTTAACTTATTTGCTTTTAGTTCATTGATGAAATGAATTTGTTGCTACATTATATGATGTTAAAAAGTTTTGTTGAAAAATTTATGAAAATTATTTTGTGAACATGTATTTGGGTGTGATTGCATTTAAGAAACTATAATTTAAGGCACAATTTTTTACAGCATCTCTAATAAATCAATTGTACTCTAATTTCAAAAAAATTATGCCGAATTTGTCCCAATCTAGCATTTAACAAAAAATAATGTTAGTCATTCGAACAAACTTAGGAATGAGAACATTTGTAATCATACTTAACTTTATACAGGAACTAACAATTTTGTTTTATTAACCAAATTTCAAAAAATAATTGCTAAGATTTCTTATGCAACTTCCATTTGAATAAAAAAAAAATTTGAAAATTATAAAATGGTATTTTGAAAATATGAACTTCAGATTTTCTTTAAAAACAATGTAAAATGCAGTCCAATAAATCCAACATACAATGGCAACACTAAAATGCAATTTCTACAAATAAGTAAATGCCTTGGTTTAGAATTATTCTTCGATTTTACAATACTTGACCTTTATTTTTTAGGCATGTTTTGTGAAAATTATGAATGTATCTGAAATTATACAATGATGTATAATTGTGTATGAAATTTCAAAATTATACAATCTTGTGAAATGTTTTGATTTAACATTATCTGCACTTATTAAACTTTTGCACATTTCTTTACTTCACTTAATGATCTGCAACAGTTAAAACATTTTTATTAAAGTTAAGCTACTGCTTATGATGTCAGTAAATTATTTTGTTACCTCTTTTTATATTATTTCAGGGAAGCCATCAAAAGATATCAAACATCCAGATTATGTTCCCACTATTTTCACGTGCCACAAAGTAACGCAAAAAAGGAGGTTTCCTCTAAAGAAGTTATGTGAATTTGAAGAGTTGCCAGTCATCAGCACAAATCTTGAGAATAACTCTTTTGATGAGTTAAGTGAATCTGATAATGACGAGTGTGTTTCAGGTTTGTATTTTGTTTATTTTTTAACACTGAATGTTATGCTAAAAAAATTAGTTAAAATCATTTTCATCTAATATGTTTACAAATGAGTAAAGAGAAAAATTGATTTTCCTTACATTTATAGTGCAACCATGTCTAATATAATTCAAATTCTTGAATTCCCTTTAAATACTGTGTGAGATATGTGTAGGGAATTCACGAATCTCCGGCCTAATAAATTTGTAGGAATGTATCTATCTTGGCAGTTTCTCTATGTGAGTATAATAATAACTCTCTTTAAATAATAACTATTTATCCATTGTTATAGTAAAATTTAACTCTTCACAATATTCATTTTATAAGCTCATGCTTGACTTGATTTCAAAAGTAGTAAAACATGCATAAATATAACAAAAAATATGAAAGCGTGAAGAAAAGATGTTTCCAGATATGAATCTTAACATTTGTATCAAAATTTTTAATAACATAAAAGCTCAAGAGAAACTTATTCGAACTCAAACTGCAATATGATAAAACAATATCGTTATATGCTGTTAACAAGTGAAATGACCTCTCATTAATTGCTTTTTATTGAGTTGCACTTATTGTATTTCTAAGTTTAAAATTTTTTTTGTTCAAGTTCACTTCATTATTTTTCAATTTGAGGCATCCTTTCATGTCATTACTATTAACATATCAACAAATTGTGCTTAGATAAAAGTTATGATTACTATATATATTATGAGCAAAATGATTTTTTTACTTACTTTCAGGGAAAAATAATAATGATGAATGAGGAGCAACTAAAAAACAATTCCTAATATATTTATATATTTGTTTATGTGCTGTAAATTTTTTAAAATTATTTTGGCTGAATATCACTTTTTATTTAAAGACAAAAACACTCTCTTGATTTTTTTTTTTTTTTATGATGAAAAGTATGTTACTTAACATTATGAGGAAAAAATTGAGATGAGGAAAGTTGCTTTTCACAGTAAAAAAATTCTGAAATTCACTTGGAAACCTCTGTATTAGTTCTTTTACTCCTTATTTTTTTGCCTCACGGTTTGTTCTTTTTGATTTAAAAGATTTGTATATCTATACATAATGACTCAATTTTGTATATATGAATAAAAAAATCAATGTATCCAAAAAATCAATGTATAAAAATGTTTGGGTATTCTACACCCTGTTTATTATCTCTTGCTTATCCTTGAATACAGTTGTTTTCAGGTAACATTGCAAGTAAGCTCAATTTTCTGTAGTTTTATTCAATACCGCAACTTTTGTAATTTAATTTCTTCCGTGTTTTAATGTAACTATTTTAGGAGCTCAGTTTCCTGTTTGCTATTTGATTACCAATCCATGTAGCTTAAATTTGAAAAAAGATTACTACTTTTCAATTATTGATTCAGTGTTAACAACAATTAATGGTTAATTTTGCTTTGGCTACTTGCATACCAATTTATATGGAAATTAAAGTTTCAAATTATATAAATTACTAAATACTTCGAATGAATTCTACTAAGTTTTGGCCACATTGTTTAAAAAAGTTAAATACATGATTTTTCATTAAAGTTTCACAGATTTAATATGAAAATTTCAAATTATTTTACATCATAATATTACTGTCATATTTAATTTTGTTACAACTTTATGCTAAAATAAAATAATCACATATGTGTTAAACTATTCCTGTATATTTAAATACTTATTAGAGACCCTCCCATTTAGATTGCGATTCAGAAGTTATTAATAATGGTCAAATTAGGTATCCAGAATTCAAACCAGATGTTGAAAACTCACCTTTAATAAATGCTGAAACCATTAAAAGAATTCTTGGAAGTGATGCAGCTAAAGACCCTTCTCTTGCTTCAGGTATGTTTGTTTGCAAAGAAGTTTTTTTCCCTATGTGCTTTTAAAGTAGGTACCATTTAACTTTGTTTCAAGTTTCATATTTTTGCAATTATAACTTTGCAATTTGAATTGTTTTAAAATAAAATTCTTACCAAATAGTTTTATCTTCTAATGTATATTTTAGTTTGTATTTTATTTACTTTTCAGTAGAGGAAAGTGTTATACCTTAGGATACTGTTTTTACACAATTATAGTTTAATTTTCAAGTTAGTGGCAATGTTTAAATCCATATATTTTCCTCTGTTTCAAGTTTTTTTTCTCTCAAACAAATTGAAAATAAAAATTTACCAATCACTTAAAAGTTGAAATTATAAACTGTCCCAACATACAACAAGGTATTTTATCCTGGTACATTTATATTGTGACCAATTTTATGCTAAAAATAAAATATAATCTCAGATAATAATTCAAGAGTACTGAAAATTCTTTAAACTGCAAATTTTCTATGATGAAGAAAATGCCTTAATACTTAGTACAGTTACTGGAAATCCAATAAGGTGTAAATATCAGGATTTTGGAACTCCGAAATTTTTTTTATAGATAAGCCACAAAAGTTTTGAAAAAAAAAAAGCTGCATTTTGCACAGTGACTCATAACTTCAGAAATATATTTTTTTAAACTACACACTTAACAATAATTAAAAATTACTGTTTGAAAGAGCTATTCGAGTAAATAACATTTAAACTAAATCAGAAATAATTTTTCATAATTGAATTTTGTTTCATAATTAATAATTTTTAATCAGAATTGTTCGTAATTTTAGAAGTGTTTGATTTTTGCGATTTTTCATATTTTAAAATAAAGATTAAAGCTTACAGGTGTTTTAGGGACTGACAATAAATTACAAAAATTTTTTTAACACCTTATGCCAAAGAATCAAGCAATAAACATTTAAATTATATCAATTACTCTGGTTGTTATTTGCAATGACTGCATAAAATTTCAAAAATATAGCTTAATTATTTATGGAGATATGAACATTTTTATAAAAAAACTAATTTTTTGTCTCATTTGTTTTATATGCTATATGTGTTTCTTCTGCTATAATTTCAAAAATATTCAGTAAAATTAAACAAAATTTTTGGAGCAATTTAAAATAAATTACAAAAAAGTTGAAATTATTTTCTCATAATTTTATGGTGGCAACTAATGAAAAAAAATTTGATTTAAATATTTTTAACATTTAAAAAGCTTCAAGCAATTCCTAAATGTTTTTTGTACTTTTCAAGAGAAAGTTCAAAACGATAAGAGGTTTTCCACATATAATTAATTTTGTTCTTACTGTTCTCAGTATAAGGTAGTGTAATTTTCAATACTACATAGCAAAATTTGTGAAAAACCCCTGACTTGAGCCATTACTTTGAGCTTTCTTTTAATAACAGGAGTCTGTCTAGGTTTTTCTGAGAGGTACCTATTTTGTGAAAATTTAAACATAATTTGTGAAAAATTAAAAATTATATTAAAAAATCAGCACAAAAATATAGATTTATCGTTTCTTTCGAGATGCAAAAATAAAATTTTAATAAAAAGTTCGTTTCCTATCGTTTTTCCTAAAATTGAATTTGTGAAACTGCTGTTTTTCCGTAAGTTGAATTTGTGAAGGTACCCCTAAATGGTAGTAAATTCGCTCTGGACAGACCCCTGAATTAGTACAAAAACTATTTAGAAAATTTCTAGAAACTTTTTGCATTTTTAAGATACTTAAGTAAGATTTTTCCATAAGTTGCCAAATACGATTATGAAAAAATAATTAAAAATTTTTTTTGCATATGTGCAGTGCAAAGGAACTACTTTAAATACTTATATTTTGCACATTTTTTAAAATTTTTTTTTTCAAATTTTAAGACAACAATTATGTAATTAATTTTAAATTGCTCCAATTTTTTTTAAAAATTTTACTAAATATTTGTAAAATTATAGCAAAAAAAAGCATTAGTTTTTTATAAGAATGTTCATATCTGCATAAATAATTAAGCTGGATAAACAAGATTATATGTAGTAATTGCTAATAACAAACAAAGTAATCAATACAAGTTACAAGCTTGTTGCTTGATTTTCTTTCTGGCAAAAGGTTTTTCAAAATACTTGTTTTCTTTCATAATTTATTGGAGGTCCCTCAAATTTCCAGAGGCTTTAAACTTTAAAAATCGCAGGAGAGGCTTTGAAAGTCGCATGAGCTAAATACTTTACAAAATAGTCCTTTGAGTTTTTATTGGGATATTAAAAAGATAAAAAGTGCTTCTTCCATTATTGTAGGGTAGTCTTCATACAATACTCCAGTCACTTTTCTATACTTAGTGGATGGTCGATTTATAAAATATTTGCAATTTTAGAATTCTTATTTAAATCTTATGATAGAAAATAGGTAAAAAGCGAAGAAAATCAACAACAAAAACCAGAATTTTGTGGATTTGCAGAAAAGTGCCAAGACTGGCTTTCGCTTTATTAAATCAAACAACTGAAAGAGAAATTTTGAAATGGTGAAGCTCTGCTGTCATTGTTTTTCCTTAACTTTCATAAAAAATCTTAACTAATGAATGATTCCTAAGTTCAAAGATTGGGGTACTGAAGTACAACTGTAACATTGCACTAACATCAGCTTCCTTGGCATTTAAACGATGTGATATGATGATCGCAATTTTAGAGCAATTTCTTAAACTGCTGATTTTCAAATCATTCAAAGGAAGGCTAAGAGAGCTAAACAACAGACTTTGAAACGAAAAGAGGGAAATTTGAGAGCCCTGGGTATTTTCTTAACTTTGCCTGTTGATTAAATCTTATGGGCAAATAAGCTGGTTTCAAATCCAGCTCAATTCATTAAAAAAACGTTACACTCTTAATCACAGTTTCTCACAATCAGTCATTTGAATATAGATTCTCTTTTTTAGCATTTTAGGAAAATATTAAGATACCTATTAGTTTTAAAATATTTTAATTTTGAAATATAAAAAACTCATTTTATGCAAATTAATTAATTTTTTTTAATTTTAAGTGAATTTTGCCAATGATATTTACCTTAATTCACATAAAGCTGTAAAAGTTGCCTTAATGTATTATTTAACTCTATATCATGCAAATTTCAGTTAAATCAATAAAATTAGTAGTTGTAAAAGTTAGTAGCCTTTAGCTTCTCACTAGATAATTATGTTTTACATTCATATCTTTAATAATGGAGAAAAAAAATGTATGTATTTTTTGTAGTTTTGTTTCAGTAAATATTAAAGAAGAAAAAAATACCTAATTTTCTTATTCATAGCTGAACCTTTGAATAGTGGACAGCGCTTCAATCCGAGGTTATTTACTTTCATTGATGTCACTGGTAGAACTATAGCTAGGTTTGTGGAAAAGCGTGTAAGGAAGAATGCACGCCATCTGAAACAGGAGCCTCCAGTTTCTTCCACATATCCTATAGAAACAGTACAAGTCATTATTGACAAGAAGAGGGCAAAAACTGTTGCAGTGGATCGTAGAGCTATTTGTAGTAGGTTTTCTAAATTTTTCAACAACAAAATAATAAATTGATTTTTGTAATTCCATAATAATTATCTATGTGTATGCTTGTATATATTGTGATATTATTGTATATATGTATATATTGATGTGTTGTGTGTTATTTGCTATATTTCAACCAAAGGTTTATTTGTCTGTAAAATATATTAGTACATTAAATATTTATAGACATATTTATTTTATACTGCAATGATTTTAGAAATTTTTTCACAAATTTCCTAGATAGTTGGAATTTAAATTGTTTCACAATGGGTATATAAAAAGCGAAACGAAGTTAGCTAACAAGATTATAAAGTGTGACACATTATTACTAAATATTTGTAGTACCCAAGAGACTGCAACCCAAGAGAAATCTTTTCGTGAAATTAACATTACTGTTTTATCAATTCTGGTTAATAGGCAATATATTCAACAATTAAATCACACCTCTGATTTATATATACCTTTTAAAATATACTTTAAAATCCAGTAAATTATTATAATTGTAATAATTAACTGCTAAATTATAATTAATATAATTATATTTATCTTTTATCACACCTTTGATTTATATATGATATTAATAGATTTGAAATTAGGTACATACAAATTTAAATAGATCTATGCATATTTAGGAGTCATGTTAAAACTTTCATTTTTTTTTTCATTACAGTTTCAAACACTCCTGAATTATGCTGTAAAAATAAAGCTAAGAAAACTTGCATGGTGGATATTTCTGATACTATTTGTCTTTATCCTGGGGAAGGTATGCTATTTTATTTATTTTGCAAATATGGTAATTTTTGTTGCTTCTATGTAAGCATTGTACTTATGACCTTTTAATAATTGATACAGTGATTATGATTCATTATGGTTATTGCTGTATTTTCACATTCGATGAATTGAAGTCAATCAGATATGTTTATGTTTTTTGAAGCTAATTAAAACTGGGCATATACTTTAACTAAGTTGTTGTTTCTATTATTTGGGAGTTCTATTCCCCCGGTAGGCATCACTTACTCCATTTCTTACATGTGCAAGGAGTTTTCTCACCATAATGCTTTATATTTCATTTTCTTATTAAGTTTCAATTATTGTTTGCTTTGTAGTAACAATTAGTATATTTTTGTAATGAAGAATAAATGGTTATGGAATAAGTTTTTGAATTTAAGACAACTAAACATTTTAATTACCACCTTCAACATGTTCAATCTTCTGTTTAAAATTTATTGTTGTTCTTATTTTACTTAAAAAAAAATCGTAGCTCTAGATAGACTTTCCAGCTTAAGTCGTTTGCAATCATCAATTATGTTTGTAGGTGCAAGCTTCTTTGGAATGAACCTACTTTTATAATTTGAGACCTTTTTGATATGTAAGTCTGAAGGCATCAAAAGACACCCCAAATGAAAAAAAAACCCTATTATTAATACCAAAAACTTATTAATACTTATTATTAACCCTCCCCCCCCCTCCAAAAAAAGAATTAGGTATTTATTTTATCTTTTTACTAGCAATAAGCTACCAATTCATATCCTTATGTGTTTCAAATTAGGAGCTTGCCATCTGTAATATTTTAACATTACAGGTGGCAAACTCCCCAATGTTTTTGTTATTTTTTGATGTTATGAAATAAGCTTTTTAATTTACGACAAATAAACTTTTATTTATCACCTTTCAATATTTTTATGTACAATCTTTGTTGCTTTTAAAACAATAGCTTTAGATAGATGTTTCATACTTAAGTCATTTACAAAGCACAAATATCTTTGTAGGTGCAAGGAATGAATCTAATTTAATAATTTGAGACCTTTTTATAAGGCTGGAGGCATCAAAAGACAACAAGTTTGTTTGTCAAATTATATTTAAGGAAAGGTATCAAAGTTCATCAGAATATATAAAGCAGGTCTAGTTGATTAATACCCCCTTCCCCCATAAAAAAAAAGATTTAGTACTTATTTTATCTTTTTACTAGCATAAAGCTTCTAATTCATATGCTTATGTGTTTCAAATTAGGAGCTTGCCATCTGTAATTTTTTAACAAGTTTTTGTTAAAAAATTAATCACAGCTTTTGATATTTTTTGATGTTACTTTTTACTATATTTGCTGTCAAAAATTATAGCAATCATCGGTAATTGTAATTTTTATATTTTTGTTCTATATTATTCTTTTTTAAAGAACATGTGGAGGTATGCAACAATTTTTTTTGCAATCCCAATTATGACTAAGGTTATATTTTTAGTTTTTGAGTGGCTCAGTTGGGTGCGAAACAACAATAAACCTCTAGTTCTTTTGATCACCAATTGACACTTGAAAATAAGCATATATGAGTAAGGGGTAACTACTGGATTTTAAGGAGATGTACCTTAGTCTTAAATTTGTTTTTAGTAAAGAGATTGTTATCAGCAAATCTAGAACAAATAAAAATGCAAACACTTGAAAACAGTATGAAATGTTTTAATAAAGCTAAATCTTATAAGCAAATTTTTGCCCTTATGAAATAAGTGGGTTTTTTTTAAAAAATGTATTTAATTAATTTTCCAGGTATTCCATTATTGCGATAAAACCTGGTTCCAATTAATCCAGAAAATTAAAATATTTAATGTCATAATTAAATTGGTTATATATCATTGATAAAACAATTTCTTTTACAGTTAAAAGTGAAATAAATAGTGAATCAGAGACAACATCAATTAAAAGTGAACCAGTCAGTGATTTAGAAATTGAACCAACTGAAGAAGAATTTGTTAATTATTTCTCGGAACTCAAGGACTTTGAGCAACTTGACAATTGTTTTGGAATTAAAATTCAAGATGTTGCAATGTTGACATGATATTAAACTGTAAGTTTTTAATTTTTTACTTTTTATTAATTTAGAAGAAAAAATAGAAACAAAAAAAATTGATAGATAGTGGAATAGTTGAGAAATAACTCAGTCACTAGAAATACTTCTTATTACAACACTGTTTAAAGTTATTTTTATGAGTAAAATTAAGTATTTTGACTTAATTTTTACACTTAGATTTTGATTTTTAGCAATTATTTTGTTTTCTTTTGTTATTGAGGACGTTTATCCTAAAAAGTCATATTTTCTTTTTAACTCTTTGTAAAAGTTGCGCTAAAATATGGAACTATGCTTTCAATTTTTCTAACTCCTTTTTCTTAAAAATAAAATTTGAACAGTCTTCAAAATTTTCAAAGCTAAATTTAAATTCAATTTAATAATTCAATAAAAATTCCTTTATTTATTTTTGCTTAGACTTATTGCTGTGTATTATTGTAAAAAATTTACAAAACAAGTTAAATTTTCATAACAATAACTTTTTGTATTGAAATAAGTTAAGCTTTCCAATAAATAATACTAAATACTATATTTATGATATAATTAAATTTTTCCCATTCTACTGAATCAAAACTATATTATGTGTATTGAAGTTTTTCAGATATCTATTTAAATAAGATCGTTAAATATGTCAAATTGAATTTAAGAAGCCTTGAATAAATCAGACAATTAAAAAGTGTATCCGAAATTTTAAATTGTAATATTTAAATTTTTTTTTAAAAAAAATGTAGCTACAACACCGTAATAAACTTGGAAAACCAATGATTTTGGTGTATTATATTTTTGGTGTAGTAAAAAACATGTTTATATGCCAGTCTATAATTCTAGCATTCATAAAAATTTGTAACAAGAGTTTAATATTCATGTTCTTTCATTGTTACGTAGCAAAATAATTTCATTTTGCTAACTTATGTATACATGTATTAAATATGCTAAGATATATGCATTGCTTTCAATAAGACAATGTTGAATTTAAGTTGTGTTGCCATAAGATTTAATGCTGTCATGACATTGTTTTCATCTAACAAATTGTAACTGACTATGAATGCCATACAAATAATAAGCCAACCAAAAAATTTCAATGTATACCATATACGAAGAGTATAATATAAAATTTTTAATTTTACTTTCCCTGTAAACTTAAAACTCTCAGCCGCCTTTCCATCAGTGTTTCTAAAAATTACTAGTAAATAATTGTAGAACTTTTTTTATTAAGTTTTTATTTTTTATTTTATTTCTTTGTGAGCTATAACATTCTTCAGTCAAAATGCTTAATTTGTTGTTTTTAATTTTATTTATGTTTTAGATAAAAAGGAGAAAAAAAAATAGGGAAGAAAAAATTATAATTATACAAACTAACTTTAATCTATAGTTTGTGTATAGAAAAACTACCCCTCCCTACGAATTCTACGGCTTCTGCTGCCATGGAAGCAAGAAATAACTCATTTCGAAAAAGGGAGCTCCTTTCTCCCCTGACTCGTAACCATAGTCACGACCACTACTCCAGACGAATGGCTAGGGGAGTTCTTTACATAGACAAACTATATGTGTTATTATTGAATTTTGTTTTACCTTAAGTTGTAATTTAACAGTAATTTACACAAAAAAATTACAATTCAGCTTAATAACATATTTAGTTATGTCTTGTGTAAGAGTATTGTTAATGATTAAATAACTTTAGACCATACTCATATAGAATGACTAGAATCTTTCAATAATTATGTGAAGATTCATTTTATTTATAACTATAAATTATAAATTCCTAAGGTCATATAATCTTTTTATTTAGTTGGTCATATAATCTTTGTATTTGATACAATTTTGATATCTTTTGTTTTCTGATATAAATTTAATTTTTTATTGAATAGTTATTTTTTTTTAGATAATGACAGCTTCACTTTTATTGAAACAGATCTATCTGAATATACTTTTCAATATCTTAATCAATATTGTATATCACCATGCTCTTTTAGTAGTTTTTATTCTATAATAGTAATACTTAAGTAGTACTTATTGTGATCACTTTGGGACACAATGATTAACTTTACTGATTAATAGCAATACTGAATAAGATATTAACTAATTAATAATAATAGATGAATCAATGAATGACAATAAAATTGATAAATTAGAGAAATTTATTAATTTTAACAACTGCTAAGTTGGAAAAAAAAATAAAAAAAAATAAATAAATAAATAAAATAAAATGAAAAGTACCTTGTAATTATCTACTGTATATTTTCTTAAAAACATGAAAATAATTCATAAATTTAAAAAAACATCATTAATGTTGATTGCCTATTATTTTTGTAAAAAGTTCATTTATAAATGTTTGTAATCATATATTTTTTTAGTCGCCGGAGCTGTATTGTACTCCACGTTTTGACACTTGAATTGTATTTCTTATGTTTGGTAGTGTGTCATAGCGTTTAAAATATCGATCTTTCTTAGTGTTAAATCAGTTTGCTTTCTGCTATCAATATCATCAAACTCTTCGTGAATGATCTAGACATAAAATATTGACACTCTCATCCTCAGCGCAGGTAGACCCTTGCTCTGAGACACGAAAAACTGATCCTGTGACATTTTAACTGTCAATTATCACACTCCTATCCACCTGAAAATGAATTTTAAAAACATTAATGTCGGAACTGATATTATTAGACAATGTACTGATTACAGAAAGCGATAATTGTACAAATAAATAGAGAAAATCTGGACTGAGTGATTTTGATGCTAATAAGTAATTAATAACATTAGCCATGATCGCATTAACCAGAAATTACTGTAATACAATTAGATAAAAATACATATGGTATTAGTCAAATTCTTTGAGCTACTTATTCCACTTTTGTTTTCAAGGAGAAAAAGTTATGGTAGTTAAGCAATTTAAAAATATTTATGTTTTATTTATTCCGTGCGTATATATATTTAACTTTTGTGACTTTCGTTATTCCGATTTTTTTCCTTATTAGAAATGATGTGTAATTGAATGCCCTAGTAAAGAATTAATTCAATGCATACGCATAACATAAATAAGCTATAACATCTAGTAGAGGGCAACCTATTCACATGATTTATTTTGTGAGACCAATTTCCTACATATCTAGTTTATAACCCAAAGAAATTTTGAAAGCTGATACACGTCCTATTAAGTAATGGATTTAAGCTTAAATTTTTAGTATCTATAATAAATCTGCGCTCATTTATTTGCTTTTTAAACATATTATGAGGGACACTCCTGAAGTTTGCTTAGTTATATCTAAATTTAAGAATTTCGTTTTAGTTTTAATTGTTCTTGGTTAACCATTTATTTTGTTAAATTTGCATGGTATTAGGCACCATTTTAAACCATTAAATTGGATATATTTTTATTTCTTATCTTTCAGGTTTATGGAATCGTAATTGTTGTTGCAAGTGCAAGTGACTAGGAAACCACTTTATCTTCACGATAAAAAAGCCCATTTACTTTCTGTTAATATGTGTATATATTATTTTGTTACGAATCTTGTAAAACTTGAAATTAAATAAAATGTTTTTGTTTATTAATTTATTTCTACAAACATATTTTTCAATTTTCTAAAAATGTTTTAAACATATATAATGTATATGTTTACTTTTATAGTCATACTTAAATGTTATATGTTACAGCATTGAGTTAAGGCTTCAACTTGTATTGCTGTTTTGTTGGGTTGTTAAATTTTCTAAAAAAAGTAAAGTTTTTTTATTAAACTTACCAAAACAAGGTGTTTCATAAAGACTGCCCTTAATATTTATTTTTTTGAATTTTTATTAAGAAATAAAATAAATTAGTTTAAGCATTTGTAGTTTCAAACTAATATTTAAGTGATAAAAGTGCTATTGATTTCCAAACTTACTACTGGGAACATAGAGTCTTAAAATATCAAAACTTATTTAGCTGTCTGATGAAACTTAGAGGAGTTTCTAATAATCGAATTCTAATTCTGTTTATCTTTCAACCAAACAAGTTTTAATTTTAAAAGTCCTGCATTCCTCAGTTGTTATTTTTTAGATTTTAATAGCGTTTTTGTTTTTTCCTCTCTTAATTATTTGATACCCCTATAGCATCGGTCGGCAAAGTGCGGCTCCAGAGCTGCATGTGGCTCTTTGGCTCCTTAAGTGTGGCTCTGGCACAAATATCCACGGAAGGCGCAATAATTTTAAATATGAGGGAAGCATTTCTCAGCAGATTTCAGGAATTTAAAAACAGCAGAGCAACTTTAGCATTTGTCAAAAATCCTCTTTATGCTACAATAACCGAGTTGAAATTTTCTCCTTTTAAAATTGACATTGGTAGCTCTGAAATACAATTGCCGGATTTAAAAAACAAGGAGATATGGCGCTCTAAATTCAAATGTCTTTGTGTTGAATTGGAAATATTGGAGAAGAAAAAAATTTGATCTTAGTTCTCAACTCAAGTGGTCTGCTTTGAATGACCTGGAGAAGAAAGACATGGTCATTTTCAACGCTTGGAATAGTATTCCTGACTCTTACGATCAGCTGAAAAAGCTCGCGTTTGCTGTTCTTTCCCTTTTCGGTTCTACATATATATGCGAACAATCTTTTTCAAGCATGAACATTATCAAGAGTAAACTAAGAAGTTATCTTATTGATGAGAACTTGGAATCATGTTAAAAACAACAACATACAAACCTGACTTACTCAAACTTTCCAAGGAGATGTAAGCACAATGTTCGTATTAATAAATATTTATTAAGTATGAAATTTAGTTTTATTTAGTGTAATAGAAGTTTACTAAAGCAGATTTGGCTCCCAATTTTTTTAAAAATTGTTGTAATGTTCATATTTGGCTCTTTGGCTAATAAGTTTGCCGACCACTGCCCTATAGGAACTTAATTTTTATCTTCAATTTTGAGGGGAATTCTAAAAATATATATTAAAAGCAGTAACTAGAAAATACCTTATATCTACCATTTATTAGACTCAATGTAACGCATTTACGAGTATTTAACACATAGTTAAGTCTTATAGTAATAATAAAAAAAAGGAGATCAGGAAGAAGTTATTTCCTTCATAATAGTGGTAATTTACTATTACAAATTCTAGCTTTGACTTAAATAATTTTAATAGTTGACTTAATTATAATAGTTTGTTTTTCTACCCCTGAATGTATTATATAATATATGTACTTTAGACCAACTTACTTACTTGTATTCGGTATTAAGAAAAAATTATTACATTTTAAGAGCTGTATGCATTTTTACTTTACTAATGTATTGCATACTTCTTTGGGAACTCCTTAAGTTTCAATCATGTTAATGATAATGTTAATGCATATTGTTCATGTAGGTTAGGTTCATGGTTCAGAAAAATTGTTAAAAATTGAAGTTTTATTTATAATACAAACTAGAACAAACATACTTTTTTAGAGTACCAAACATATTAAATTTTGTGCGAAATTCTCCCACGATCAAACTAAAAGCAGGTTTGAATGTGTTTACAATTTTTTATTGGCCCTTGAGGGTGCAACTAAATGCATCATTTTGAACCTATAACTGTTTCTCAAAGGATGAAGTAAATGACCCCACCCTGCAAAATTTAAATTCTATTTTAACAGTTTTCGTTGTGCTTTGGTACTACTGTAAATTGAAACTGTTCATATTATGAAAATGGCAGATATTCCCTTTCCAAGTTGTTTTACTGAAAATTCTAATTGTGCCTTGCTTGCAAGGCCATTTTTTTTTTCATTTCAATTTTGAAAACTGTACAGTACTATACAGCTTGTAGTAATATCCATTTATTCTCCCAAATTTTCAAAAAATAAATAAATAAATCAAGCAGTCCAGGTCATAAATGACGGAGACATTTTTGAAAGGGTGAGTCACAATGGTTATAAATATTTTCACACTTAAATTTGATTTTAACATGTAAGGCTTTTCAAGTGAAAGTTATTGTTGGTTCATAATAAAATTTTATTTCAATTTGATCATTATTCATAGTATGTAAAGTATCCTTTGTCATTCATTATATAAGAAATAAAATGAATAAAAAAAGTAAATTAAAAAAAATGAATGAGAAAAATGTTTTTATTGAACAATACCGGAATAGCTACTGGAATTGTTAAGTCAATAATTTATAATCTCTTTATAAGAGGCCTTTTATCTTCAAAAAAATATCCCCGTCATTCATTATATGAGAAATAAAATTAATTGTAAGGGAAAATAATTTATGAGATAAATGTACACATTGGACCATTTCTGAGTATCTTTTTAAAACAGAAAATTGTTAAGTCAATCATTTGTCTATTTATAACAGTCTTTCTATCTTAAAAAAGCATAGAAAATAAAACAAACGTAGTACAGAAATAGAACACTGAATTTTACCTGAGTTTAACCCTCATTCATATAACGTAAATATCCTCCATCATTTACTATATGTGAAATAAAATGTATTGTATGACAAAAATAGTTAGTTAAAAAAGAAAATAATTTATTATGTAAATTTATACTTTGGGCAATACCAGCGTAGCTTCTTGAAACAGATAATTAAGTCAATTATTTATTATCTTTTTATAACAGGCCTTTTATCTTTGATAACCCCAAAAAATAAAACGAAATTTAAAAAACTTTAATTTAAAAATTGATTGTAATAATTTTAATTTCAAAAACATTAATTTAAAAACAATTGCTCAATTTTTTTAATATTTTTACTACTTCGGAGACTTTTTAATATATTTATGTTTGATGTACAAAACACTCAGCAAAGAACAAAGGGACTAGTTATGTGATCAACGCCATATGTGCCATCTTCAAATAGTCAAAGATTTTATTTCTTTTATAACTTAATGTTTTAATGTAACTTAATTCTTTTGTATCTTAACCAAAAAAAAAAAAAGGCTGTATCTTTTTTTTAATTTTGCCCTTAAATGCTAAATAAGTAACTTTTTTGAAAGTAAGATAAGCTCATATGAATTTTTTTTAAATAAAGTTGATATTGATTTTTGAGTACTAAGGAAATCCTTAATTTTTTCATTGTAATGTTTCAAAATTCCACAACTGTAACAATTTCCATTTCAAATTTTAAGATTTTGTTCTTGATAAAAAGGATTATTTTCAATTCATTTCAACACTTAAGGACAGCATATTAAAATCATTTAAGATATTTCTTCATGTTAATTATAAAAGCTATTTTAAAGTTCAACTTAGAAGAAATCGTTAAACTATACAAATATTAACATACTGTTAATAGGGATTTGCAAAAGTAGACATCAAAACTCTGGGGGGGGGGGGGGTAAAATACTATAAATTTGATATTTTTTTAATAAACAAAATTTGGTACTTTTCAATTCTTTGTAAGTGGAAAAGTCACCAATAATGTAGATCTCAGTCAAAATATTTCATGAATTTTTTTTTTAATTTATAACAATTAAAAAAAAATATAATAAAATTAAGAAAAAAAAAATGGTAAATTTTCTAATGCCTGGCTAACTGAAAAGTAGCAATTATTTTACTGTGGTCATAAAATATGAATACAATTTTTTGTAAAAGTAGATTGCAAAAGGGAAAATTATAATTTAAATTTAGTACCCCTTCCTCCGAAAAAATACACATTTTGATAGAAATATTGTATGACTTTTCTATTAAAGACTTGACAAAAAATAATAATAAATAAATAAATAAAATAAAAAAAGGAAAATTCATTATTTTGCAATCTTTGCTTTAAAATTAATTTGGAAGTAAATTTTCTTACACTAATTTTTATATTATTAATCATAAAAGTATAATCCCCCCCCCCCCCA